ACGCTGTTAACCCTTGAAATAGGATGACTTATATGAAACAGATGCTGTTCATACTTCGCTAAAAAAAAAACTCATGCATACCAGGCAATCGAATGAATGTCACATCTTTTATTGGAAATTTGGTGTCACTGCTCTTTTGAAAAAAAAAAATTTTTTTCTTTTTTGTGTGTGATAACAATATCTAAACATCATTGGTGACAAATAGGATAATTGAAGTCCTTGAGCTCGATTACTCCACACTGCTTGCACAAAAGTTGATAATCAACTGGTTAAATTATATTCACTAATTAGTACTTTATTTCTATGCTGAACATAATGCAAGTGATGAACTGTACATCTCATACGTTCACAAGATGTGCGCAGTGAGATGAACTCTAGGGGCAGCGTGAATTTTGATATCCCTGCCTTCAAAATCTCGATAACAATGCACTGCTGTTTTGGTTACTTGTTCTACAAAATGTCCAGAGCACTGAAGCTTAAAACTACTGTATATGGCATGCCCATGTAGTCACACACTCCAGGTATAAATATTTCGAGCCTGGTGTCGCCCTGAAAATATGTTAAAATAGGAAACATCTAATGATTTCGCCGCCTAAAATTGATAAACTTTAATATGTGCTGTAAAGTGATTCATAAAAACATATTAAAGGAGTACTGACACAAAAACTTTTGCCTCACGTTTTTTTGCTACAATGTGTTGCTGGGGGCCTGTTAGTTATAACATGGCACATACTTTACTGTAGCATGTGATAGATAATTAGTTACAAGCTTCTCATTACCAACCAGTTAGCAGTTTTAAGAGAGCTCCAAAAATGACAAGCTGCTGGGTGCAGCATTCGACCACATCAGCACACAAAACTGAAACCACTTCTGCACAATCTACATCAAGAAGTACTTCCCAATGAGAAATGGGACTGAAGCTTCACCAAACACAAAACTTTCAACGCGTGCACCGCGACCATGCACTTGCGACCAGCTGCCTAGAAGTATAGAGTACTGGAACAAAGGCGGCAAAAGATAAATGGTGGCTATGACATCATGTAACTTGTTTTATTGACTGCAGTGTGGTGGCATGAGGGAAGTAAGGGGGTCTCCATGGGGTCCCTTTTGATGGTGTCAATACCTTTAAAATTCAATCTTCAAAATTTCTGTAAAATACTTTCGAAGCTATATTTGCTTTTGATATTTTGCAGATGATATATGCATGTTCACGGGAATTGATCCTGCACGCTATCTCAGCCCCGAAATTTTGTTTTAGTACCCCTTTAGATGGATTTCATAATCTTGGTGCACATTTTAACTTCTTGAATAAGTAATATCAGAGTAATCCAGAGATTTCCTCGAACTGTGTCTCCTTTTTAACCTATCGCAATCAGTCACAATGCCAACTCGTGGCACAACCACTCTTGATCTTGTTCTTGTCTCCAACCCAGATTTAATTCAGTCAGTGTCATGCATTCCCGGTCTGAGTGACCATAATGTTGTATTGTTTTCATTGTCCATTGCCTTACCTTCGCGAAGACCTTCGAAAAAATTAATACGCGACTTTAACAACGCCAACTTCCCGACGATTAACTCTGAACTTAATAAATTTTTGGTCTCCTTCACCCTGTCTGCTTCTACCCGAACAGTTGACCAAAACTGGTTATTGTTCAAGCGGAAATTATTAACCCTTATCGATAACCACTTCCCCCTTATTCGTGTTCCAGGCGATGCTCAGCGACCATGGTATTCTAATCTCCTAAAGAAACTATCTCAAAAGAAAAAAACGTCTTTTTCGCACTGCTAAAAACTGAGTCAATAACAAAATGGAACAGATATTTCGCATGCCTTCGTGAATACACTCACTTGCTGAAGCGCTCCAAAAAGAAATTTTTTCATAATGACTTGCTTAACATTGCCCGAACTAATCCAAAGAAGTTTTGGAAACTTCTCAACCCTAAAAATAACACACACAATATATCCTTAACCAACTCCGATGGTTCACACGTTCCTCTCCCACAGCGGGCGGACGTTATGAATACTTACTTCACTTCAGTCTTCACTTCTGAACCACTTCATAGTATTCCAGTCATGCCGAGATCTAATTTTTCACAAATGCCGCCCATTGACATTACCTCCGAAGGCATCAGCAGTCTGATAAAGAAATTAAGAATATCCAGCTCCCCCGGACCTGACAATATTCCTGCCAAAGTCTTAAAGGCTACTAATATCATTTCTAGTAAATTTTTGGAGATAATTTTTAAACAGTCCATTTCTGAAGGTTTCATCCCAGATGATTGGAAACTTGGGAAGGTTGTACCAGTTTTCAAGTCTGGCAAGCGATCTGACCCATCTAACTATCGCCCCATTTCACCAACGTGCATCGCTTGCAAACTTATGGAACATATAATATATTCACATGTTGCTCGTCACCTCGATGATCACTCTTTTTTCATAAGCAGCATGGTTTTCGTTCAGGGCTCTCATGCGAAACTCAACTTTTTGAATTTACGACTGATCTTCATCTCAACCTTGATTCGTCATTTCAGACTGATGTTCTTTTTGTTGACTTTTCAAAGGCCTTCGATCTCGTCCCTCACCAACGACTAATCAACAAACTTTCTTCACTTTCCCTCGATCCCCTGACCTTATCATGGATTAAGTGCTTCCTAACCCACCGGTCGCAATTCACTGTTATCGGTGGTGCCCATTCTGATACTACTCCAGTAATCTCTGGCGTCCCTCAGGGCTCGGTTCTCGGCCCGCTCCTCTTTTTAATCTACGTAAATGACCTTCCTTCCGGCATTTCATCAACGGTTCGGCTTTTTGCTGACGATTGCGTCATCTACCGTCGCATATCAACTCCCGAAGATCAGCTAATACTACAGCAAGATTTACACATCATTGATAACTGGTGCGCTCAGTGGATGATGAGGCCGAATACTTCCAAATGTAAGTTCATGTCTGTCTCACGAAAACACACTAACGTCATCCATCCGTATTCATTAAACTCAACAGTGTTATCCCAAGTGGATTCTTACCGATACCTGGGCGTTGTAATTACAAGCAGACTAACCTGGACCGAGCATATTACCAAACTAGCTGCCGATGCCTCAAAAACTCTTGGCTATCTTAGGAGATCATTGTCATTATCACCTGCAAGCCTTCGCAAATTGGCCTTTGAAACTTTTGTTCGTACTAAAATGGAATACGCATCTGCAATTTGGAGCCCTCATCAGATATACCTAATTAACATTCTTGAATCCGTCCAAAATCGTGCCGCCAGATTCATCTCCGCAAATTATGACAAACGAGCAAGCATCAGTCAAATCAAATCATCCCTCGGTCTCCCTGTTTTGTCAGCTCGACGCAAAATTTCACGTCTCTGTCTTTTTCACAAACTTTACTACAGCTTTCCTCACCTACATGGTTCACTTTTACTTCCGCCTGTCCGAACATCTCGTCGCCTATTTAGTTCCCTGAGTATCCAACGTCTGTTTAGTTCTACTAACGCTTTTAATAAATCATTTCTCCCTACGGCTATCGATGAGTGGAACGGTTTGACGGATGCTATTGTCAGCGAACAAGTTGCTGTTAAATTTAGAGATTTATTACTAGCTACCCTTGACTCTTAATCGCTGTTTGTCTTTTTTTTTTGTTGTTTGTTCTCTGCCGCCTGTATATTTTTGACCGCGAATTGACTGTTGAATATTTCATTTGACATGCTCTGTTTTCTTTTTGTTTTTTGTTGCTACCTGTATGTTTTAGTAATGCAAAAACTGTAACCATGAACTGCATTTTCATTGAAATTTGTACTTGGATTGTTCCCCCCCCTTATGTAATGCCCCGAGAGAGGCCCTTAAGGGTAAAATAAATGATGATGATGATGAATTCAACTCAATGGCTAAAGTTATACTACAAGTTCCATGAATATTTTATATCCATTTTTATATAATCACTGAAATTTTGTTAAAAAGAGGCATTTGAAGCTATGCTAAGCATGGCACTGCTTTCCGCAAGACTTCTTGAAAGTGATTGCGGAAAATAGTCCATGGTTGCAAATTTGGTCGATTCATGAATTGGTACACTCACAGCTTTTACCACTGAGAACTTATGCAAAAGTGTGCTCACACTTGTACACAAGCATGAAAGCATTGCAAAGAGAAAAACCCAGAGCAAAGTAGACTCAATTCAGCAAAGCCTTTTATTAGCATGTTTGACTGAGGGCAAGCAACACAAAGCATAATCTGGTTTAAAATTTTTTATGGCTTATGCTAACTCCTCTAGAAGGGTCCCAAAATGTTTCCTTGTCATCCATTTCTACTTTAGACAAGACAAGCCAAAAGTGTAAAAGCCTAAGGCGTGATCTCAATGGGTCCACCTAATGGACATGTCCACTAAATGTCCACACATTCAGCTACTCGGAAAAACAGTGAGACGTGATGTCATGGTGCTCTTGACCACATCAATGCACCGAACCCATCAGCACATTACCAGCATAAAGAGAAAGAAAGTGAGCGGAATGTATAGTAAACAAACTTGAGAAGTCTGAACTTGCATATAAATAGGTTATGCTGTTTGAGCATGACACAGAGACGGCATACCAACCATTTAGGTACGTTAGGCGGGCAGCTACGTTAATCCTAACTTAAGGATTAATGTGATAAGAATGCATGCACTGCCTCAAAGATAGATGCACGTCCGACAGTGGATGTCTGGGGGCATTATTCATTGTGGTGAAGCACTTTCTGTCCTTTTGAGTTATGCTAGAGCTGAGAAAGCTTCGTGAAATTAAAATGATTTTGTGGAAGAAGAACTGCAAACAAAGGACGCACTACTCGCTGAGCTATAGCCAATCAGCGAAGGCTGAAGTGGACAGTCTACAAGGTGGACACAACGAGAATCACAACCCTGTAGCGATTGCTATAAGTACCTTTGTTGTACAGCCTTCTAAATAATGTAGGAAGCTGTATCCCAAAAGATACCCTAGTAGTGATTTCAATTACCAAAAAGCTCACCTTTGGTATTTGTAGCCATGTCAGCCACTTTTTGGAATGAATCTAGAAAGGCTGCTGAAACTGATGCCGTAATCCTTGAAAAGAAAATAATGACAATTTTTAACTTTTCCTTTAGAACTTTGGTACTCAAGTAATACACTTCAAACAAAGCTTGAATCAAGTATTTCACATACACATCGAAATTCAACAGGCTACTCGATAGCTGCGTAGTGAACACTGGGTAGAACTCTTAATTATTGTGTAGCTGCTCAGACAAGCTAGATAGAGAAAGTGAAGAACCTTAATTAGAAACAAACACCAGTTCAATTTCATAAGGCCTCAATTTCTCGAGCATTCAGCAAATCAGTTATATATTGTTTTCATGTGACTAGTTCAAGATATGTGCCAAAATATGTACCTCCAGACAAACTGAGATGCTGATACAGTGGACAAGTTGAAGGCAGTGGCCAAGTGGCGTAAAAGCTACTCATGCATGCAACAGTATGTCTGGTGCGATGGTTAAAGAAAACCACACAATGAACACGTCATCTAGATCTTGCTGGAAGTAGCCTACTTCCATGTCAGCTCTTCTGTCCTCCTTTCTGCACTAAAATTTTGCTTTGCTGACACTTTGCATGGAACACCAACAGTTTGAACTTTAGCCCCTCAGATGTTCAAATGATAAATATACTCCAGCGTACTCCACCTTTAGAAGCAGAGCCATGGTGAAAGTGCATCAATATGTGCATGTGTTGCACTATACTACCTCCAGCTTCTGTGATGCAACGAACCTCCAGTTTCACATTTCAAGCCACAATGCACTGGGCACAAATAATGCACTAGTCGCAATAAAGATAACACAATTATTTGTTGCACTGTAAAGAAACTGAGACTTGACTGCTTCAGTCAGATTAAAGCGGCCTGTGGATAAATATGCCAAAGTCACAATTTTATTCCACGATGCTGAAAACAGTCTTACGAGAAAACAAATACACTCTAAAAAATGATCGATAAAAAGGGTGTTTCTTTGTCCCGCAACAAAAATCATCTATCTTGCATTCCTTTCCTTGTGTTATTGTCATGTGCCCGGCCATTTCAGGTCATGAATGACATTCACATCATCAGGGTGACATAGCATTTTTGATGAAAAAGCGCCCAGCACAAAGTTTTCAAGAAAGAAAGCGCAGACAAGATGGATAACGATTATTGTTGCGGGACAAAAACAAACCCATTTTACTCGATTATTTCTGAAAGTGCAGGTTAGCAGTAAGATTCCTTTGAATGCATGTATGCTGGCACTTGCATCATGTTGTATATATTTTTTGTACTTGACAGCAAAGTTACTCCTTTGTACAAACTACAAATAGCATGCATGCATATTATGGCAGCAAATGGCCTAGAATTTTTCTTGAAAACAAACAAAGAATTAGAGGTAAGACTAAACTTTTTTTTATTGAGTTTAGGAAGGTCAGGTCCGAAGAGGTTAACCATGCTATGTTTTGTCTACACTTAGTCTACCATGAAAAAGCTATCTACAGCATAGTTCACTTACTTCAGCTGAGAATGCAGCTTGCTTGCCTTTGCCAAGAAATCCTCCCATATTGGAGTTCCACCCTGAAAAAGAGTAATATAGAATTTCAAAATGTGCTGCAGGGCTAGTTGGTCCACTTAAGTAAAATACAAATATGAGGAACCTTTTCACAAAAAAGACAGACACAAACTAAGTAAGTGCAAACATCAGCGAGAGTCTTGTTAGTTGAATAAGATTGCACAACAAAAAGAAATGAATGAAAGAGAAGAAAAACCCAGCAATTATAGACCTTTACACTCAAGGCTTCCTAAGAACCGCTATATTCTCTGGACTGTTAGTGCGTGTGACCCCCCCCCCCAAGTGCACTGCCGAGGCTGTGACGTCAGCTTTTGTACTCTTGTGCAACCGCGCAGAAAAAAGGGAATCCTCGTCTCTGTGAAAAAGGTCTATCCCAAGTCTATCCTCTTGTCAACACATAAATTTGTGCTTTCTATAACTTACACGAGTATAGAGCTGGCACATGTAAAGTAAAAGCATATAAAAGTGTACTATTTGTTATAAACGTACTGTGACCCACCAACATAAAGACTCCCACAGGATGAACTACAAGCCTGACTCTATGAAAATGGACCACACAGCTGAGCTGAACTAATGTCCAGAACACGCAACCCCCTGCGCAGTGATCTCTCCCTTGCTGGCATCCTTCTCGGAGACATTGAATGCATCCTTCAAGGACGCTGGAAGCATTCTACCCACGGATGGAACTGCGCCCTTCTGCTCCTAAAATCTCAGTGGTTATAAAAGGCCGGCGCATCTAGCGTTGTTGCTTCTTCGACCACATGCTTCCTTCATGCATTGTCCTCATTACAAATTGAACATTTTTTTCTTGTCAACTACCTTTTGCATTGTCACAGAATGGATTGTCCCGAACCCAGCTTGGCCCTCACACTCCACTACACGAAAGACCCTGGTGCCTCTCATAACACTATATAGTCAATGCATCTATGTTTTCATTTCCTTTGGCATAACCCTCTCTGAGCAGCCATGTGAACGTCCCAACATTAAAAGCACTTTTGTGTACTTGACACAAGATTAAGCAATATGTGGTAGCACTGTCAGAGCATTACTATGGATAAAGTCTGGCAGTATGTAATAAAACGTGCATGGTGTCACTTTGCTTTGGGCTATTATAGTCAGCTGCCTGCTAATTAAATGTTCCCGCTATAATAAGTTTATAACATATTTCGTTCCTACTAATGCAATGAACAAAATATTTCTGTGCAGCAGATTCAATTACTAATGGGGGACTAGCACTCAGCCTCAAAGTCTGCGTTCAAGTATTTCCATCGTATATTGTGTGCATGCTCCCCTTGTACACTGCCTATTTACTAAATGACAATGCTGATATATGCTAAAAGGGCCATGCTTGGCAAAGAGCACCAAGAAAAATGATGTGAGTTGCAAATGATAACTATGATAATGTTGCATGGCTATACAGTGGCCTTAAATTCCATGTCGTAAGGTGGGTAAAACATGCAAGTATTAAAATTATGGTGGTGACATGAAATGGGCTGCTGTAAACATATGGCAATGCTCGGGGTAATAAAACTTTAGTGGAGACATGACATTAGCACAACTGCCTCGTCAACACCCTTGAGCACAAGGGCCACGAGACGGATGCTTTCCTTAATGCCTACTTACTAAAAGATCAACTAAATATCTAACTTGCAAGTCCCTTGAAGTCACAACTTTTAATCCCACATGTGGCGGTCACATTACAAAGGGGGTGAAACATTGAAGTACTGAAGTAGCATGCACTGAGTACACACTTAAGAACACAATGTAGTCAAAATGATAAAAGATAGAGAAAAAAAAAAGAGGACACAATGTGGAAAGCAGAGAGAAAAAGCAGCTAAAGGGTAAGGGGGACAGCAGAGTGATGCATGCACGAGACGTGCTGCATGTTGATCACCTACTATAAGATGGTGCCAGAGTGACGTAAGCAGTCAATGGCACCATTACTAAAGCAAATGGCAAGTGCCCCAACAGCGAGCACTCTGAGCCAGCCACGTGTGCTTACACTTCATTTTTTTTTTTTTAACAATGCGCAATGCAGCCAATATAAGTGCTTTGCTTGGTGCTGCCGAGAGCTAAGCACCTCACCCAAACCGAAGATCAGCAGTGCTGAAGCTAGAATATATAATCTGCACATGGGCAACATTTTCATAAGATATACATGTGGGTACACATATATAAACATGCAATTGCTAGCAAATCACGTATACGGCCACCTACACTACACATGATTCAGCCACTACAATTTCATTTTATTACCTGAAAAGGCCAAGAGAGACATTACATAATGGGCAGGTGCACATGTTCACAATATATTAGTGGGAAATCACAGGGGTACAGATGTATTATGCTTGTCACACTGAGTAACAAAAAGTACTATAACGCATTTTCAAAATTACTTTCCTGGACATTGTTTGCAATATGTATCTGTCACTAACATTATTTCATTTGTATTCCTAGCTTGTTTTTACAGAATCGCACTTTTTTTCTTGATACTTTGTTTTTAGAAAAAATCATTTTTGAAGAATTGCACCACACATTTGTTGCACATCACAAGTAGGTATGACCATTGCAAACACTGCGAAGATGCTGAAATTTGATGTTCAAGTGCACTGCATCCACAAACGATTTCAAGAGACATAGACGTCATGGACCCGCAGTGAAGTGGGAGGCCTTGAAGGGCAAGAACCAGGGAGTGAGAAGATTTTCACAAATTAACCAGTTTAGAATTTGCAAAATAGCCTGGAACATTTGCTTAAGGGTTCTTCACAAGCTGTGAGGGTGGGGAAAAAAAAAGATTTCCCCAAAAGGATCATGGTCTGGGCCAGAATTTAAGGACTTGGAAAAGCCAAACTTGCTTTTGTGCCAAAAGGGGTGAAACTCAATGCCAAGGTCTACGGCAAGCCGATCTCGGAGGGCGCCATCATGTTGTGGGCTGAAGAGCATGCAAAGAATACCGACTGGTGGGTAAGCCCCTGCCCCAGGGAGTGAGGACAACTCTTGAGTGGTGTGAGGCAAACCTTTCCTGCTTATGGAGGAAGAATATTTCACTGTCAAATTCCCTCTATACAAGCGTAGTTCTCAACAAGTGGGAGGGAATCAGTTGGGAAGATTTGCAAACTGAGGAGACTGACCTTTTGCCGCTTGGTAGCAGTGGCTACATTACAGCAAGCAAAGTGAGTCGCTAACGATATAAATATTAACTTTGCCAACAAATAAGAGAAACTATCAAAACCATGCCAAACGTTCAATTGATATGTGTGGTTTAACGTCCCAAAACCACCATATGATTATGAGAGACACCGTAGTGGAGGGCTCCGGAAATTTTGACCAACTGGGGTTCTTTAACTTGCACCCAATCTGAGCACATGGGCCTACAACATTTCCACCTCCATCGGAAATGCAGCTGCCGGACACACAGAGGAAGAATATTTAGCTTTAATTTAGTTTAATGTTCTCTCAGTTTACATAGTGCTTTATACAGAAGGAATAAACCCACAAAATAACTGCGAAAAATAAACAAAAGTACGATAATGCACAAAAGCGGTGACATAAGATACACAGTGAAGGATTTTTAAATATATTTTTACCTTGGTCAGCGCTCTAAATTTCCAAGGTAGCTGCAGTAAGACGTTTATAGCAGCGCACGCACGCGCGCACAAGCATTGAGAGCTCGTTAGTGCAAACTTCGTTAGTACATATACTGTCGCCCCGCTGCGGTGGTTTAGTGGCTAAGGTACTCGGCTGCTGACCCGCAGGTCGCGGGATCGAATCGCGGCTGCGGCGGCTGCATTTCCGAAATGTTGTAGAGGTGTCCTCAGATTTGGGTGCACCTTAAAGAACCCCAGGTGGTCGAAATTTCCGAAGCCCTCCACTACGGAGTCTCTCATAATCATATGGTAGTTTTGGGACGTTAAAACCTACATATCAATCATTACGTATACTGTCGTCCTTTATGAGAGGAAACACGCGAACGCGGGGCCTGCGCTCTGAGGCGGCTGCCTACAGCCCCATCAACCGACAGCAAAAGAAAACACGCTGGCGTCATTTGTTGCCAAAAAAGATAACTAGTCACGGCCGGTAGGCAAGCGCCGCTAGATTACACGCCCTCTCCACTCGCGTACCAGGGTGATGCCTGCCGTGCGTAGTCTACTGCCAACAACATATCAAACGTTGTGCGCGACCACGGCGCAAACTGCAGTAATCACCCGATATCGCTCGACGCGCAAGCGGTGAGGGAACGTAATCTAGAATCGCTTGTCTACCGGCCACGACTCGTTATCTCGCTTGGCAACAGATGACTCCTAAAGCGAACGTGCTTTCTTCACTTGTCGGTGGATGGTGCTGTCGGCAGCCGCCGCAGAGCGCATGCCACGCGTTCGCGTGTTCCCTCTCATAAATGACGACAGTGTACATAAGCGCCGAGAACCTTCCGGGAACGCAGCTAACCACGCAGTAAACGTAGTATATGCATTAACCACCAAGTACATAAGCCTGCGCAGGGTTTCCCTTCACGTGGGGTGGGAAGCGGGCGGCGAAGGGGGCTGGCTTTGCACCCCCGCTCGCTCCCTCTCGCACACGCCTACGACCAAATACCACTTTGCATTTTTTTTACGTGCGCTCACCACTGAAGAAAGGATAAAGACAGTGCCACAGCAAGCAAATGTCAACTAAAGTGCCCCATGAAGTCATTTCTTTCTTCTTGCCATTGTACAGAAATGGTTGGCGTTTTCGCACGACCGTCGTCTGATGGCACGTGGTGGCGATGACCAAAGAGTATTTCGGAACTACTGCGGAGTCCGCGATACGCAGCGGCTGGCATAGCGACGAAACGGACATAATCGGCTGTCCGCGATAAATGCGTATCGTGATCTTCTACACAGCTAAAACTGACAGTTTCTTTGAGACGCGGTACGGTCGCAAGGAGCTGATCGTCTACTGGCTAGTTGCGTGCGGCGCTCCGCCTGCTTGGCGTACACACCATGCATGCGGTGCCGCTTGCTCCGCT